CAGAGGGCATACATCACCCCTCCCTTCCTGACTCTCCCCAACACCCCCTTGCCTTCCTGCTTGCTTTCTTCCTTTTTTTCTCTCTCCCTTCTTCCTGTCTAATGCCCAGATCCTAGATTTGATGAGCTCTGATACACCTTGCACGTTTCCAATCTGTTTTCTGTCATCGCAGATTGAGTTTCCCTTTTCTACAATGCTGCACCTATCCAAGTCTTCAGCAGGTACTTCCTGTGTCTGACTTCTTGCACCTAACACACGACATTTGATCGAGCCGTGTTGTTCTTTCTGAGTCGTAGTCCATTGCGTGACCATAACTCGGTCTTTATCCGTTCTTGGGTTGATGGCCAGGTGGGTCGTTGCCAATGATTAGCTCTCAATGATTGGCACCTTGTGCAAGTCTCTCGGGTAAATATCTAGAAGTGGAATTGTTGGATCATATGACAGTGTATCAGAATGGTTAGGCATTCGTTAGCCTCAGACAGTGAGGAGGCTCCAGATACTCAGTCAACTCTAATACTTATTTACATGCCAACAATGACACCCTGCTTTTGAACTCCTAGAGCATCCCTCCACTCTGGGAGGGTGGCCTGGGCCTGTGATGAAGACTCACGTCAAGTTTCTTCTCCTCTAAGAAAGCTTTTCCACGGCATTGACTTCTCACAGGCCCAGGCCACCCTCGACAGCACAGCTCTTCCAATACTTAGCACTGTCTGCTGCCTCCCTTTCTCCACAGACGTGACACAGGGCCCGGCTGGTACGGAGCCGGCTTGCAATACGTGTTTGAGAAATGAACGCACAGGCTCATTGATGGGCGTGGGATGGCTGGGGAGAGCAATCCAGAGTGGAGAATGGCATGCCAAGCCCGGGGAGCTGCTGAGATCAAAAACATGGCGGGCAAACCGAGTGAAAGAGCTTGAAGCTTTGGGGAAGCCAAGTGGCTCTCTCCCTAGTGTGGAAAAGGCGGCTGGTCAGGCCGGGAAAGAGGCGTTGGAAGCTAGTGTTTGCCTCCTGTTGGGCACTAGATGGCAGGAGAATCCCGTTTGAAGGCATTGGGCAGCTTGCCTCTACTCTGGTCCTTTGGACTCTTCCTTAGGCAGCAGGGTGTCCTGGATACCAAGATCTGGCTGCTGGTGGGCGCCCCCAGGAACAACCACTGGCCTTGTGCCCTCCAGAAGGGGCTGTGATCCACAGGGTGTCCCCGGGCTGATTTTCAGAAGGGCATTGCAAAGGACTTTCTTCCAGTCCAGTCTGCAAATGATGCTCAAAGAATTGCTTATGTTTGGCTGCTCACTGATAGGTTTGAATTTAGAGGCATCTTGTAAGAAAGGCTCGGGAGTTGCTTTTGAAAGGTCACAGCCCTTGAATACCCTACGCAACGCAGTTCTATCTGATGTACGTGGGGTCACGAGTTGGAATCTACTCACAGCAAAATAACTGAGTAAGATAACATTTGAGTCGGTCCTACATCTCTGCTCCGGGTTGTCCATTCCACGTTAAGCCAAACGAGAGGCGGCCCTCAGCAGCTGTGGGCACCAGGGGATGGCAGCTCTTGTAGCAAGATGCCAGACACAGAGTCAAGCGCAGGGCATTGTACTTTTTCATGGAATTCGCACAAAAGCCACATGAGGCGAGTCCTGTGGAATCCACTCTTCTCCCACTGGGGGTAGAAAATTGAAGCTGGGGAAGGTGAAGTCCCTTATCGAAGGTTGCAGTTGGAAACAGGGGGAGTCAGAATTCTAACTCAGCTGGATGGATTCCAGACCGTAAATACAAGAACTCTCTTTGTCAGGACTGAAGAGAAGTGTTTTCACTTTGGCCCCTGAATTCCTGCGGGGTTCTTTCTCTCGTCACCCCCCCCTCTGAGACTCCTCGCCTGCTGTTCCCTCATGCCTAACTGTGGGCCTGAATCTCTCTAACAACTCGACCATGTAGGAAGGAGCCCAGACCCCTATACAAGGTAGCCCAGTAGTTTGTGTTGACACAATAGGCAGCTTGTTGATGCTTGTTGGTGGTGGTGGTGCCAGCCCGGCCATTCTGACTCGTGTCGTACAGCTCCAGGGACTGCCGCGTGGTCCCGCACCATCTTCACAACCGCTGCGGAGTTTGAGCCCAATGTTGCAGCTGTCGTCTCAATCCAGCTCACGGAGATTGTTCTTTCTCACCGACCTTGTACTTGACCAAGCATGCTGTCCGTGTCCAGCAACTGGTTTCTCCTGATAGCATGTCTGACGCTTCTAAGGGACATTCTGGCTGTATTTCCTCCAAGCCAGGTGTGTTTGTCTCCCTGGCAGTACATGGTATGTCTAACCTATGTCTGTACATGGATATATATTTGCTTCACTAATGTGCATGTCAGTTTGTGCATGGACCAGGCTAGTTTTTTCTGTATGCTTCCAATGTTAACAGATGCGCTGACAAAGCCGGCACAGTGCATGATAAGTTTAATGGTCTTCACCAACACCCTACCTCAAAGGCACCCGTTCTCTGGACTTCCACATGCCGTGTGCCGCTTTCACATGCATGTGAGCTGTCATGCCCTATGACTTGGTCAGAGAGCCCTGGACCAATCTTGTAAGCACTTCTAGGTAACACGAGGTCTATGTCTCAGTCATGATTCCATTCTGTAACTGTGAGTGTGGATCTGCTGTTCGTCATGATTTTGTGACAGTGTCCTTTGCCCCCACCCCCATTTCCCTTTTGTGATCCTTTCCTTTACCGTCCCATGTCCCTTCTAAATGCTCTGTGTCTTGGACACCATCATAAGCTTGTGCTCATGGTTTCCCTTATCTTTCTCTTTGCCTCGTCTTTTCCTGTTGAAGATTTCCTAAGTCATCTTCTCTTGTGCCCTGAAACCCTAACAAACCAATAGAATTATTAGTATGTGCCAGACACTTAACAGAGGGCTGGAGAAGGCATATCTCACCTGGAGTTAGGGACCGTCAAGAATAGATTTGGTTCACTGCACACTAATGAGAAACGACCATACAAATTAGGAAATAACTTCAGGAACATCATGAATGAAAAAAAAAAAAAAAGCAAAAGGTCTCTCTCTCTCTCTCTCTCACACACACACACACACACAAAACAGATCTGAGCCCCGTCAGGGTCCTGCGTGGTCAGTTCAGTAGCTCTTTCCCTACCTTTCCTACAGCCCCTGCTGTGCATTCAGGTACCTCGAGGTGGCCCAGCAAGACAGAAATGCTGCCATTAAACCTTCAAACCAAAACCCACTGCCATCGAGTCAATTCTGACTCAAACCAGGGCTTTCTGAGCAAGTCACAGGGCATGACTCATGACTGTCCCCGAGGAAGCTGATCAAAGCCCTCAAGGAGACTGGAGAGGGATGGAGGCTACCCACTTTCCAATGCCCTCTACGGAATGCAAGATGATACCTATCCCGGTCCATGGTCAGAAAGAATTCAGTGGCGGCTTAATGCACTTGGGGACCCTGCAAATGGATTTTGGACTTTCACTGTCATTCAGAGCCTTCTGCAAACCAGGGTGCTCAGAAGTTAAGCTCTAATACGACTGACACAGTGGCTACAACAATGGCTTCCAACTCAAGACCAACAGGGCAGGCGGTGCTGACCTGGGCAGTGTTTATTTCTGCTATGAGTCAGAACCCACTCTGAGGCACCCACCACCATGGGCAACATTTTCAGAGTCCCTGCGTGGGTGAAGGAGCCCTGGTGTCACAGTGGCTTACCCATCGGGCTGCTGACTTCAAGGTCAGCAGTTGGAAACCAGCAGCTGCTGTGTGGGAGAAAGATCAGGTTTTCTGCTCCCATAAAGAGTTATATCCTTCAGAGGATGTACACTGGTACAGATAGGAACCAGAAACACAGGGAACTCAGGCCAGATGACCCCTTCAGGACCAGTGGTGAGAGTGGTGATGCCTGGAGTTGTAGAGGGAACGTGGGGTCGAAAGGGGGAACTGATTACAAGGATCTACATATAACCTCTTCCCTGGGGGACAGACAACGGAAAAGTGGGTGAAGGGAGACATCAGACAGTGTAAGACATGATAAAATAATAATAATTTATAAATT